ATCCCAGCGCCCGCGGGGCTGACGGGGACTTCCCGCCCGCAGGTTTCCTCTCACCAGACCCGACCTCTGCAAGAAGTGGGAAGCAGCGGTGAAAAGGAAAAACTTCAAGCCGACCAAGTACAGCAGCATCTGCTCGGAGCACTTTACTCCCGACTGCTTTAAAAGAGAGTGCAACAACAAGCTTCTGAAGGAAAATGCTGTGCCCACAATATTTTGTTACACTGAGCCCAGTGAAAAGGTAAACCTGAAGCACTCTTAGTTATAGCAACACGAATGCATGGGTCTCTTGCTCGTGTTTGTGTTGCAGGATTTGGTGTAAAGGAGCATTCGGGAGCAGGGGCAGGCTGCAAATGCTGTCTGGGGAGCATGAGCGCTCAGAGGCACTTGGAGGAGAAATCTGGGGAAGCTAAAGAAGCTCAGGAGCTGTTCCTAGTGCTGTGGGAAGAGCAGAGGCCCCAGAGCAGGCTCTAACCTGCTCTTGTGTGTGTATGCACAAAAACTAAATCACAGCAGCATAATTTTGACTGAAGCCTTATGTTGAACCAGCACAGCAACAGCGTAAGAGGTTGTTGCCATATAATTAAGTTGTTCTGGTATGTCCGGAGTGTTACAAAGCCTTCAGTAATCTCATTTGCAAACTACCTTTCACTGTCTTAGGCTGGTTGGTGGCTACTGCTATCATTAAAAACTTGGTGTAGGCTAATTCTGGGATTTAGCTATCCTTTCTAAAGCACTCAGACCACTGGTTTAGCAAAGGTAAAATGACAGGTTAACGCGGGGGCAGCGTGGTAGCTGCATGTGCTCTCTGTGCAAGCTGAAACTTTCTCTGTCTTAACAATTACGTTGTTTTCGTAGGACACACTAGTCTCTTACTGTCCCTGCACATCTTAGGATAGTCTCCCAGATGTAATGCTATCCTCACGGTGCTTCTAAATGAGAAAAGAGTGGATTAATAGCTCTTCCTTCTTGACCTAATAGCTGCAAGGGGATGGTTAAGAAGATCGATTCTTGATTTCTGTAAAAGGATACCTTGTAGGTGTCTCTTCCCACTCCTTGTGATGGAGGAGATCTGGGGAATGGCAGAAGGTACCAGGGTGAAGTGTACAGAGGAAAGCAGTGGTTTTTGCGTTCGTTTTATTTTATTTTATTTTATTTTTGATTTAAATTCAGTATTGGAAGTGATGCAGAGATGAAAAGGGAAAAGGAATATTCTGCATATCTTAAATCAGCAGCAATGGCTGGGCTTCTCCAGTTGAATTCAGACTAACTTCGAAATACTTTTCAACTTTATATTTTTTGCATTATATTATTTGAAATACTACTTGCATTTTTTCACAGTAATGCAATTTCTACTGAGAATCTTTTAATGTCTGTAAGGAGTAACTAGAATTCATGGGCACATCACGAGTGAAATAAGTGATCTGCCATGTGTGATGCACTGAGGTAACAACATCACTGTAAAGATTTCACGTGCTCTATAAGCTGGAAATAGAATGGATTTCTCCTTGCAGGTCCTAATTTTGCCGAGTAGTTTTCCTGGCAGAAGGATTTGAGAGTAGTAGCTGATGTGGTCAGATTCATGTGTGAATTAGACGGACACAGTATGAGCAGAGACTTCTCATAGCTGAGAAGTTACTCAGGCTGATGGCTGGCTGATTTGTACTTCAAAGTGATGGGTAGTTCTTGCCCACATATGAATCTCCGTGTGTAGTGCCAGCTGCAAAGCCACCTCTGCAGTTATTGTCTGTCAAATGTTGCAGTTTGTACAAGAGTGATAGCCTGGCCCTCCAAAGTGTGAGGTTGTTTGCATAGTACATCTAACTGACTCAGCGTTGTGACAGGAGCTTCAAGTCTTGTGAACTTAATACTCTGGAGGACAGGAAGTGCTCATATTCTCTAACACACATTGCAAATGCCCTTATGCTTGCATGGATAGTAATAAGACTGGGCACAGGTAGTTAGAAAGTTGCTTTCAGTGCCTTTTTCACCAATAATTTTTTAGGCTTTCTTTTTAGCAAGTAAGAAGAGTGCTTTTAATTACTTTTTTTTTTTTTAAGCCATCATGGAAACAGAAGGGTTTTTGAATTGCCTAAGTTCTTTTTGGGTAAAAGGAATGTGATTCTTTCCTCTGGCCTTTACTCAAGTGGGTGAGAGCTGTGTCATCCTGGACTGTGCAAGTGCACCGAATCTGTCCAGGGCAGTGTGATACAGACTGTAGCTTCACGTGCAGCTGAGCTCATCTAACGTTTTGCGGCTGTCCAGTTGTGCTTCTCCTTTCTCAATCCCATCTGCAAGCTGTTCAGTTCTACTTCCCACTCCCTCCTAATACCGACTCAGGTGTTGTCACACCTCTTCCTGAGCTGCATTAATTTAACAAATTTGCAGAAGCTTTCTGCAGTGGTGATGGGGAAGTGAATAGCTTTCTGTCATCTTACCAGCTCGTTATGTTGCAGCAAAGGGTAAATGCCAGAACTGGGAGTAAGGAAAGCTGGACCTGTTTCTTCCATTTCTGGCATTAGGAATTGCTTTCTTTTTCATTTATTTATTTTGGTTCAGCCAGTCTTGTTAAGCCAAACCCTTACACTGCAGTCCTAAAGCAGTGAGACAATCACTTCCATTTGTTAAGAAGCAGGCCTTGCTATATCTACCTTCCTTTCCTGCCAACTTATCAGCCCCCTCAGTAAGATGATTCTTATTCCTCCTCCTCAGAGATTTTCCACTCCTGCTGGATTTGTGTTAAATTGATTGACATATTCCAATGAAGTTGAAGCAGCAAAATGGAGGGACAAAAGGGGACGGGATGGCCATGGTGAGTTGTTAGGTCAGCTAACTCCCATCTTGCACAACTGCAACCTGTGTTCTCACTTTTCAGATAAGTGTGGATGTAGTTGTCCAAAATCTTCCAAAGTGAGATTGTGAGACATCCAGGTTCTTCAATTTCTGCTTTCTTCAAGGCATCAGGGACACAAATCTGAGGAAACCTTGAAAATGAAGCTCCTTCAAAATATAGCCAGTTTAGAATTAGCCAGGCCAGAACTGTTTGTTAGTTTTGAAAAAGTAGACCTTAAAATTTGTTTTACTAATTCCAGTCCTGGTCATTTACATTATATGGGGGCTGTACACCTGGAGTTGTTTTGTGAGCAGTGTCAACATGAATGTGTACTTTTATTTTGTTGTGATAGCCTGAAGAGTTTGTAGAGCAACCAGAGGATCCACTACCACCACCTCCACCGCCACCTCCACCACCACCACCGCCACCACCACCAGCAGCAACTCCTGTACTGCCGCCATCTCCATCAACTCCTTCCTTTCATTTATCTCAAATAGATGCAAGATTTGTGGATCCAAGTATTGGATTATTGATGCCTCCTCTGCAGACACCCAGCAATCTTGCTGTTTTTTGTGATCACAACTATACCGTAGAGGATACAGTTCATCAGCGAAAAAGAATTCAGCAACTGGAGGAACAAGTTGAAAAATTGCGAAAGAAGCTCAAGACTGCGCAACAGCGGTGCCGGCGCCAGGAAAGACAAATTGAAAAACTGCGAGAAATTGTTCAGTTTCAGAAAGAAAAAGACATATTGGCAGGCAAAGGCTATGTTATTCTGCCGAATGACTATTTTGAAGTTGTGGAAGTACCTGCCTAAACGTCAGAAACATCTGCCTTCACTTCGCTAGGCCAAGAAGTTTAGTATAAAAACTAAATGCTCTCTAATTCTGTGTGTAAGGCTTCCAATAATTCTAAATCAATAAAGAAGGTGTCATACAAATGAGATCACATTTTATTTTTCTTCATTATCATTTCAGTTTGATGCTTTTTTAATACATTGCAAATGCAAGCATCTCAGAATTAGAATGCATTTAGTTTATGAAAGCTGATTGCTTTACAGAAGAAAAGGATGCAGGGTTAAATACATTTAAAATGTGTAAGATCTTTTCACAGTGGCTGTTGCGTGCTTACAGGGGGACAGGGAATTGAATCTGTCTGGGAATGAATCAAGTCCATGTTTGCGGTACACTTAAGGGCAAAGCTTTGTCAAGGCAGTTAGCATTGGCTTGTTTGATCCCCAAGAAATAATCTTCATTGTTTGCAGAAGAAGCAGAGCTAGGCCAGTTAAGAAGATATAAAGTGCAACCTTATACAGGGAATAATAAGATACATATTTCATCCTGGGAAAGCTTCCAACCTCAGTTTGTTATGCCTTCAAAGCACTGCATGAGCTCTAATTCCTGGATCCCTTTGATGATGTATGTAAATGAGCCTGTTGCTTTGCAGTAACCTTTACTGGTGTGTGTGTTGTGAGGAAGAAGGGGAGAATTTACTAACAGCATTAACTGGAGCCATAGAAGAGGCTTTGCTGGGAGGGCACTGCTGACAGGCAGTGCTGCAGTGATGGTGTATATTACCTGATCAGGACCAGGAAATGAGTGTGTGCCTTTCAAAAATACTTCAGTAGTCATCTGCAGCCCTCCGTGTGCCAGAGAAGGCCACACTAGCCCTTTTATGAGTAAGGTTAGCCCCTGGTTAATTTGCTCCTATAAGCACTGTAATGGGTTGCATGTAGTCCTCATCCTTAAAATCGTTGGTCTTAATTTGCATCCCGAACATGTGCATAGTGTCAGGAAGTTTAAGGGTTTTTTTGTTGTTTGTTTGTTTTGTTTTTGTTTTTTTTTTTCTTCCCCAGGGTGCTGAGCATTTGCAACTTTTATTGCAGTACACTGTGATCCTTTTTTCATTTGTTTGTTTTGCTTTGTTTATTTCCCCAAAAGGCATCCACCCAAGGGCAGATGCAGGATTGGACTTTGGAAGTTGCTTGGTGCTAGGCTGGTTTTTAATATCTCAAATGCTGCTGCCTCCCCTACAGCCTTATTAAAAGTCTTTTCTGAAAATAAATCTGGCATTACAAAGTCGTGCTACAGTTTGCAGTTACTGTCTAGTAAGTCTGGAAAACAACACTGTTGTCTCAAACTCATCCAGAATCAGAGAAGACTGTTGCATTGGACCTCTTGTAGATTTCAGAGCTGAAACTTAAAGATCTGTTAGATATGAAAGAAAAAAAGACTTTTCTTGGCCCACATTGAACTGTGTGCAGGGCAAATTCTTGCTCTGGTATTAATCAAGGCGTATTCATGATGGGTTTAAAGGGTTCACCAAATCTGTTCAGCCTGACATTCTGAGATGTTTAGAACCAGTCTTGATACACAGCAGGAACGAGGTCTGAAGTATCTGGCCTCACTACCCCTTCATATGTTTAAGATGAACAAAAATCCTGTTTGATCCTTTCGTGTACATTTATTATTCCTGGTTAAAAATTTTAAAAAAGCAAATGGTGTGTTAGATTTTTAACTGCTCTTTGCCCAGGACTTTGCCAAAGCTGGCTTGACACTTTATATCTTTTTATAAAACATTTTGTGGTTCGGATGATGTTTTTTGTTATTTTTGTTTTGCTTTGCCTCTGGAAATACAAAGCATAAAGGTGTGCAAATCAATGTTCCCGAGTCTTGCTGTTGTGTTTATGTGCTTAAATAAACTTGCAAATGCTCAGATTCAAAAAGCAAGAGAGAGAGAAGTCTAACAAACTGTTCCACTCTTTTTAGCATGTTTGACCATGCAACAGCATGGTCATTGTTTTTGTTCTCTCCACAAAATCAAAATCGCGTCTCCCCCACACAGGTGGGGATGGGCTGCTCCTGGCATCTCTCCCGCACAACTGGCCACCCACTCTCATTTTCCCGTTTTACTTTGCACCAGTTTAGGTGCTGGTTGCAGCCCATTCAGCTTAAAAAGCAGGAGATTTTTCTCGTGGCAGCTGTTGTCTACCACACAACTCCTGTACCTCAGTGCCCACTGACCCTTTTTTGTGTCTTCCCCAGATTTTTCTATTTCTCTAGCCAGCAAATCACTAGCATGAGATGGAGAAGGGTGAAAAGTGCCCGAGCTGATGCAGGAAAAGCGCATGGGGCAGGGCGAAGGATTCCTCCCTTCTGGATGCGAGGAGCTGCTCCTGGGGAAGCTCGGTCCTGCCAAAGCTACGCAGGAGAGTCTTGCTGACAACGCCTCATCTCTGCTCCCTCCGCCTCTGGCCACATCTTCCCGTTTCTCGCTGCCCTGCGCAGTGGCTACTGAATGTGCTTGGCCCTTGCTTCAGGCTCGGTGACCCTCCAGAAAAGTAACTCGGCCAAAGCAGGGATTAGTCAGCAAGGAACACTGAAAAATGGCTTTGTTTTTCACTGAAGAAAATGATATTTTCAATTCTCACAGGGAATTCTGGCTCTTCATGTCCCACAGACAACTCCCTTGCTTTTCCCAAGTATTTGGTAAAAGTTCCACCTTTTTTCTTTAAATGGAATTTGTTCATACAAAAGGCTCTCAGTAAGGACTGTGTCCCTTCCTGCCTTCACTGTTCACAGCCAGTATCGGCACAGAGCAGCAGTTTTGTGAACACGTCTTAAGTAAAGTGCTTGGGAGCTGCAAAAGAAGAGCTAGATGCTCATGAGAAGGCTAAATTCTGCTTAAATGCCCGTAGCTACACTTCAGCAACAATTTGAGGAAATTAGAAGGTGCTAAAGTTGGCAAAAATGCCCCAGCCTTGAGATCTGGACTGAGTTCTGTTTTCAAATGGGCTGATGTTGCTGCAGGCAGAGCGTTAGAACTGCTTTCAGTAAGAGAAGTGTTTCTTTTACAGACTTCCTGCTATTGATCCAGCTTCCTTTTTGCTCTGGTTTCCCTTTTTCCCTAATAGGGTATCTGAGTTGTACGTAGTGTTTACTTTCTTTCATTCCCTTACATCTCTGTGAAGTGCTAGATTTCCTTATCTAAGTGCAGTTTCCAATGTCCTGTAGCAGAGTTCTGTGTGAAACCTGGCCCACATTTTGGGGAGCAAAACGCATGATGATGCAGCATGTTACCACAATGGAGATTTCCATGAAATCTTACCTCTTGTTAGTTTTTATTTGCCTTCATGCCTGCATAGTGTTCAGAGCGCAGGTGCCAACTATGAATTTTGAAGGAGTTCTCTCGCATCTGAAACACAACAAAACAAATGCCAGAGTGAATGTGGGAAGGAGGAAAGTTTAGGAGGAAAGTTAAGGAAATGTTTGGGCAAAACTAAAACCAGAAATCCAGTTTCCAAATCCATGTAAAAGAATTATCCTATCATATGCTTCTTTGGAACCAGGTTGTAACTTGTCCTGATACTATTTTATGTTGTAGTACACAGACTTTCCTGTTTCCCAGCACAGCACACACTCACTAGAGTGTGTAGTTGGTAGAATGGAAGGGGGTGTTTTGGACTATTCCCTCATTTTGACAACTGAAATTTGGTCTGCAAAGCAAGTCAATTAATACTTACAGTCTGCTGTGACTGCAAATTCAGGGATGCTACTCCTGCTGTTTTAAGTGCAGCAGGTTATTTGAAGTACTTTAGCCATGATAATGATTTACAAATACACAGAAAAACAGCAGTGCAAGGACACACATTATGGTTATAGTAGTTGTCATTACAGAATTCTTTTAGTGTTTCTGTGTGCTTCCAGGTGAAATAACATATTTTTAATAGAAATCTCCTTCAGAAGGAACCACAGCATTTGCTGTTCCAGTGGGGCTGGCAGCTCATTGCGCTGTTGTACAGATAACAGAAGAAGTTTTTAACTGTGCAAAAAAAACTGTGTCCAGGACTGAAATATTTCACAAAGTCATGTTAAGTAATCATATGAAATCAAAGAAAAAAATTATTCAGGAAAAGCTTTTCAAGGACATCTCTTGAGAAGAGACATACTATATTAAGCCATAATTAAATGTCTCCGACACCCTGCCAGTGTTAATTCATTAGCACCGATTATCAACCTTTTATTGTCTGCAGTGCGAGAGGGACTAATGATCCTCCCTGCACTTGTACAGGGGAGGCAGCCTGTAAACACTGGGATAACACATTTCTGGGCTCTCTTAAGAAGTTATCACCCTGTGCATCCTTACTTGTCCTTATGGTCTCATAGAACAGTTGGGGTTGGCAGGGCCCTCTAGAGATGATCTAGTCCAACCCCCTGCTCCAGCAGGGACACCCAGAGCACGTGGCACAGGGTGGCATCCAAGCGGGTTTTGAAGATCTCCAGAGAAGGAGACTCCACAACCTCTCTGGGCAGCCTGTTCCAGGGCTCTGTCACCCTCACAGGAAAGAAGCTCTTCCTCACATGGAGATGGAACTGCCTGGGTTTCAACGTGTACCCATTAGCCCTTGTCCTGTCACTGGCCACCACCGAGAAGAGTTTGGCTCCATCCTCTTTACCTTCTCCCCTCAGGTATTTATACATGTTGATCAGGTCTCCTCTCAGCCTTCTTTTCTCCAGGCTAAACAGGTCCAGCTGGCTTAGTCTTTCCTCATACGATAGATGCTCCACTCCCTTAATCACCTTCGTGGCTCTATGCTGGATATTCTCTGGAAGCTCCATGTCCTTCTTGTCCTGGGGAGCCCAGAACTGCCCCCAATACTCCAGGTGCAGCCTCACCAGAGCTGAGCAGAGGGGCAGGATCCCCTCCCTCGACCTGCTGGCAACGCTCCTCCTGATGCAGCCAGGATCCCATCAGCCTTCTTGGCCACGAGGGCCCATTGCTGCCTCATGGTTAACTTGTTGTCAACAAGGACTCCCAAATCCCTCTCTGTGGAGCTGCTTTCCAGCAGGTCAACCCCTAGTCTGTCCTGGTGCCTGGGGTTATTCCTACCCAGGTGCAAGAGCCTGCACTTGTCCTTGTTGAACCTCATGAGGTTCCTTTCACACGTCCGCTTTCACTTGCCTGTTCAAGTTCAAGATGATTAACCCTGGCAGCTGGTTCTGCAGAGAATGAGACCTCAGGACACTGACTTTCACAACGGAGTCCGGGGTTCACTCTCTCTTTTTTCTTATATTGATAGGAGCCGCTGCTTCATTTATGAAGTTGTCGATACTGGTGCTGTCAGCCCTGCATAGAAAACCAAAGTGGATAGAGAGGTCTTCTCACGCTGGCTGTGAGGTGCCACAGGGGAATCCTCTGCTCTCATTTGATCCCGTGTTACACGAGCTCTGGCCACAGCAGGTGACCTCACGGATAAATATTTCCATTCCTAACAT